TGAAATTTTGTGGTTTACATTGTGACATATTTGCACATTGACCATTGTCTACAATGTTTGTCATTATTACACGCATATTTGTAAAATCAGTTATCGACATGCGAAAAAATTTAAACGGAATGAAGTTAGAAAAGAAATGTTTGGCCAGATATATTTGAATTTTTCGAAACCGACACAAAGCATCCATTAAAAAAAAGTAAACCAACACGATCAAGAATAAAGGAGCTTTTTTTTTAACAAAGCTACGGACTTTATTAGATTACAGGATACGGTTCATTTGAGCGGAAACAACACGGAGTGGAGTATTCGATGAAACAACATACTTTAGAACAATGGGCGACAAATTACATTCCCCGGGGGGAAACCGTCTTCTGTTTCGCCAACTCAGAGGACCTCGGCAATTATTTAGCTTTTAATATGTGCATTGTGATCGCTAAATTGAATTCAGTTTGATTTAAAAATTGGGATGAAAAACTTTTATCAAGTTGAAAAAAAAAAGAATGAAATGGAATGATTGAAAGTTAGAATTTTTATACGGTTATATTTTTAACAGTCGTTTTAGTTTTGGATGAATTTTTTTAAATGTTACACCAACCTAAAAAAAAAAAAAAAAATAAAAATAAAAATCAGAGGTAAAAGCTGAGGATCCAGTAGGTTCAAAGAGAGATATGCTGAGATCAGATGATGAAGGATTTCGATCTTTCATGACTGCCTTGTTTTTTCCTGGTTTTCAACATAAATTATAACAAAAAGACAGAAAACATCGACACAAAGGACAAAAACGTACACGATGAATAATTAAATAAATTGGTGCTGATAAAAGACATTGAAACAAAACATTTACCTATGCTAGAACACACAGACAAAGCAGCAGGCATTGATGACTAAATTATACAACTCAAACATTTTAAAAACTAAAAGAATTTCACTCAATTCTTTTACTGTTTTTCTTGCGTTTTAATACCACTAATGTATATTTTTGTTTCTCCAGCCAAATTACATTATGTTACACGATATAATGACAACTGACTTTTTCTTTTCTTCTAGGTCAGTTGTGGGTAAAATAATACAAAAACTCTCATAAACAATGTAAAACCTGACGGGACGCACACTATCCCTCAGTATTCGTTATTCTTCTGGGTAATTAGAATAAGCCTCTATTCGCGCTAATAAATTACATTAAAACTACCATAGTTTATTTCTCCTGATAATTTCAGATAAGGTTTCATTTGCGGTAATAAATTACTATCAGACCAGACTTCGTTCACAACACTCCAGAGCACTTTATATTTCATGGGGTAATTGAGGATGAGCCGTACCATTTACGCTAATAAATTACATCAAGTGTGTCAGATTTTGCTCGTGCTACCTCAGAACACTCGAGATTGCTCGGGATAAGCCCTCCATTCGCGCTAATAAATTACAGTCACACATCAGACTTCGTTCACATTACTACTGAATACTCCATATTCCTCGGGGTAATTGACGATAAGCAAAAAATTACAATGTTTAAGGTATTAAAAAAGGAATAAACCAAATAACCTACTATAAAAATCCCCTCACAAAGTTATACAAGAAGGGGCTTGCATATTTTTATAAAAGAGTATACCTATGTCAATATTTATGCATAATTATTTCTTACAATATAAAAATTAAAATAAAGTAAAAGTTAACAATCATGAAACATATTCAAAAGGTATGAAAATTAAAGTTCAGTAATAATGCAGAAACAGCATTCAAGCGTTGGACGAAATGGTTCATATCCCATAGATAGACACCAAATCATCCCCTTTTGGCACCTTTCTCAACAAAGCCGGGGAAATTGGCCAACTCGGTGACAAATTTCAATGTATTTTCGTCTTCCGGTAATACGCTTTTTATACGCGTAAAAGATACTATCTCGTAAATACGCCGAGAGGAAAAGAATCCTCCCCCTTGGATGATTGACTCAACTGCGATAAACTCACCATTCTAACGGACTCTATTACACAAAATGTCCTATAATATATAAAGCGGATTTGTATGGACGGGGCAAACAAAATAAATCACATTGATCGGAACAAAAACAAGTTTCCATATTATAACGCGATAGACATCGACAGACTTCCTTACACAAGGTAAAGACTAATTATTTCTATAAACATGTGCGATTATTAAAATCAACACTGATTCCTTTTTTTCTTCGAATATAGAAGTATTAGTGAAAGAAGAGTACATTAGTGGTAGACGAACTCTAAGAGCAAATAAAAATGAAGAAAATTATTTTTTTTAAACTATGAGTTTTGTGAATTTCCAACTTATTATACATCATTAGATTAGTTGTTAGTATAAAAAAATCGATGTAAAATTGTATTAACGAGATTAGTATATAAAACGTTGGCAAAAAAATCTTCTAGTATAATAGCCCAAATGATGAGAGAATTGATGCTGGGTGTTGTCTGTGAGTCTTTTAACTAGTGAACTACGAGGTTCGGTATTGCGTCATCTTCAGTGAGGAACTGTTACAGTGAAATTTGAGTAGCGCAACAAACCCGCGAGTGAATACTGTCCTAATAAGTATCACAGTGCCGGCTCAAAAATACAGTTGTTTAAACCAACTATTTGGATTTTTTTAAATGAAATGTTAAAAATTCTTAAATAAGAATTTTCATAGCCATAAAAATAGACATTTGTCTGGATTAGGAGAGGAAATTTTTTTTGACTATTTCCATTGAACCATTTTTTTAAGTATCACAGTGCCGGCTCAAAAATACAGTTATTTAAACAAACTATTTGGATTGTTTTTAAGGAAATGTTAAAAATTCTTAAATAAGAATTTTTATAGCCATAGAAAATAGACACTTGGTCGGGATTAGGAGGGGACAATTTTTTGTCTATTTCCAGTGTACAATTTTTTTAAGTATCACAGTGCCGGCTCAAAAATACAGTTGTTTAAACCAACTATTTGTATTTTTTAATCAAATATTAAAAATTCTTAAATAAGAATTTTCATAGCCATATAAAACAGACATTTGTCTGGATTAGGAGGGAAAATTTTTTTGTCTATTTCCAGTGAACCATTTTTTTAAGTATCACAGTGCCGGCTCAAAAATACGGTTGTTTAAACCAACTATTTGGATTTTTTTAATGAAATGTTAAAAATTTTTAAATAAGAATTTTCATAGACATAGAAAATAGACATTTGTCTGCATCAGGCGGGGAAAATTTTTTGTCTATTTCCAGTGTACCATTTTTTTAAGTATCACAGTGCGGGCTCAAAAATACAGTTGTTTAAACCAACTATTTGGATTTTTTTAATGAAATGTTAAAAATTCTTAAATAAGAATTTTCATAGCCATAGAAAATAGGCATTTGTCTGGATTATGAGGGGGCAATTTTTTTATTTTCTATTTACAGTGTACCATTTAAAATTTCTTAATTTCTCTGGATTAAATCTTTTTATATCTTTGAGCCTACGTCCATAACCTTTGGTTTTTATGTTATTACAAGTGGAAAAATGAGGATTATATTTTTTATATATTATTTCTGATTTTGATTTATCTATGAGGGCCAAACATTATGGGGTTCTCCCACCCTATAATGTTTACTGTGAATCAGTGAAATCGTTCTAAAGTTATCATAATTTTTGTTATTTGAGAAAAAAATAATCTGAGGCAATTGAAAAGCGAACAATTTGTGAATTTATTCTGATTTATCAAAAATTTGTATTCATGGTTTTTTTGGGGCAGAAAACAAATAGTTAGTTAGTTGAATAGTTTGTTCTTAAAAAAATAATTTAACCTATTTGCAACTTTGCTCGGTCATAAAACATGTATGTATTTTATTTCAGGAGATATAGCTTCTCTTGTAAGTTAAACACTAAATTTGAGAAATATAAATTCCAGAAATAAAAGCATGGTGGAAGGCTGTCATACCTTTTAACTTTTTGGAACATTAAATCGTTGATTAAGTTATCTCTATGTCATTCATTAACGTAAAATTGATTATTTTAGGAATTTATTTTATTACTTTTATCGTATTTATTATAGGAATTTGTTAGTGAAAGAATTTTTAATTTTTTTCTAATAAATTTATAAATGCTATAAAAAAATATTTTCTACTGAAACTCTGCTGATGAGTAAACTTCCTTTTATATTATAAGGTATAGAACTTTTATAGCTCTTATTTATTATACAGTGTATACTATATTAGTAAAATTTATAAAAAGAAATTTTTATTAAATTTTTTTTAGTACTATGAAGTTACTATGAATTTTGAATTGAATTGTTTTGGAAATATTTTGGTTATCTTTACACTTAAGCAAATAGTGATAATTCATAATATGGAAAGAAAGCGAATACATTTATGTGCGTGATATTTGCGATGTGCAATGTCATAACAATCACATTACAGTAAAAAGTACACAAAAATTGATGTTTATTTATGAACATTTTTTACTTGTTATTGATTTTTAAATAAGGACTATTGTAAATACATTTTTCTTTTGACTATTTAATTTTCAAACGATTTCACGTTGAAAAGAAGTATTTCATTTCTTACCATTTCTTACCTTTTTAACAGTGCTCAAGAGACTGTCATTTAGTCAATTTATTGGTAAAATCGATTGACATACCAATTGTCATTATATTTTTTCCCAGTGCAAGCCTTAACAATGCAGCATTGATAAAATGGTGATTATTGCCCAAATTCTGGAGGTTAAAGTGTTTAAACAACAAATAGTACAACACACATACGCAAACTAAATCGTGCCTTGTTAAGCAAAATGAAAAAAAAACATTGTCAGTTCGAATTTTAAATTAGTAAAAAAAAAATCATGATAAAACCGAACTGCTTTTATTAATGGCGGGTCAACGTTGAAGAAAATTGAAGGAAAAACAAAAAAACAAATCGACATGAAAACAAACCAAGCAGATGAGCTAAATTTCCAAAAGAAACTCAACAGTGATGCGGTGTGGTTTTTGTCTTTTGTACAACACATAAATTGCTCAATTTCAACTTACATTTCATCGAGTGGCTCAATACCTACAGAACGTTTCTTAGCACAAAATACTCCATCTTCTGTCATACAAATATTTCCGGATCTAAAATAATAATATAAATTTTAGACAATCAAACTGTTTACAATTGTGGTTAAAATATAATCGTGTTGTCCGAGACTTTAAGCAATTTAGCTCATACTTTCTGAAAGATGTTATTTCAAAGAACATGTTTGGATATTTTAAGAAAGATCAAGAGTGGATCAATAAGAATGAAATTTGAAAAGCAATTCCAGGCGTTTTACAAAAAACTTCATGAATGTTAAGGACAAAAGGTTTAAATATTTTTCATATGAATTAGTGAAAGAAATTTTTAAAACTTGCATTATTTTCAAATATCTTCAGACATTTTATGATATAAATTTATTTGAAAACAAATGTTCCCAACACGAGGCAAAAATGTATAAAAATTGGCCTTCCAATTATCAGTAGAAAGGGATTATTTTGGTTCGTTTACTAGTGGTTGAATCCAGCATTTCTTCTTTTATTTAAAAGTTTACTAAGTCTACATTTTTGTGCTTTAGATGCATTTCCCTTCGGTTTAAAACAAAATATTATTACATAAAGTAAGGTCCCGAATGCGGGCCTAGATAGAGCGTACGATCAAAGTAAAGCGAGGTGGCTTTTTGGGAAGAGTTCAACAAAGGACAGATTATTTCATGTCCGCCGAAGCGGAATCGCAGGATTGTGACAAAGCGAAGTTATATTTCTATCTAAAAAGACACCCGGTTAACAATTTGAACCAATAGAAACACGTGAAATTACCGCGAATCGCATCCTATTCAAAATTTGCATTAGCAAAAGCATTTCGGCCTATTTTTAAACTGTTGACACTTTTTTTTTATAACAATTTAGAGAAAATTGCACAGATGTAAGTTATGAATAGTTTGAAACTGCAACTTATGAGAACGTGATAATAAGAATAATAAAAAAACACTGCGTTCTTTTATAAATAATAGTTTTGCTTTATTGTAGATCATTCAATTTCTATTTAAAGAATTTCTATATCAAATATATTTATTTTTCTGAAGAATCGTGTCTATTTGTAGCAAACTTGATAACCTGAATGTAGGAATAACCAGACGGTATGTTCAAGATTGGCACTTGGGATTTTACGACCAGCGTCAATAACAATGAATCTTTGCCGAACAACAGGACCTGAATTTATATATTTAATTTAACCTGTTTTTAAAACGATTTTCCCTAGCCCAAACTATCTTCACGAGCTTGAAGCCTATTTCTTCAAGTTTGAAAAAAATTATTCAGGCTACAAACCTCGTATTGATTAGATCGGGTTAAGTCATGATAATCGTTCGTTCGGTAGAAATTTCTTTCTCTTATGAGGAAAATTCAATCAGTATTGATTTGTCATTAAAACAGTCTGTTTTCACGAACTCATAACTTAAGTTGTTTCATTATATTCCTTCAGAAATCTGTTTATATGTAAAACAAAGACTTAACTGTTTAAATATAATATTGTTACAAATGTTTTGGCGTTGAGCCTGACTTGTAATGAAGGGATTGTTTTATCTATAATTTAATACCGACAAATAGACAGTTTTTTAATAAATATAAAAACGGCTTGAAATTCTCTCAAAGCTGTGAACGTGAAGAGAGGAATCAATTGGGAGCATTATTCTCAGTACTTTACGTCACAGCCATTCCAAATCAGCATTCATGCTTGAACAAATTTCACCCCCACAGCCTAACAGGTTTAGAATAAAATTTTATATGTCAGCCTCCTCCCCTCCCCCACTTGGAAGTCGAGAGGGGCTTTATTGAATTACCAGGCCATAACGGATTGTTTAAAGCTGACATAGCAAGTTTAGAGAAAGTTTATCGTTTGGAAATTAATTAATTAACCAATAAAAACGACGACGTTAAAAGTTTCGACGCGTACTTCAAACTCCGAATGATCGATCAGTTCGTTTATATGAACCCTCGAATCCAACAGGTCCATTAAGTCCACAACAGTCCCAACAGGTAACGTAAAAATGTGTATGTACATATTTCAGCTTCAACATATTATAACAAGAAAATTTAATTTATTGTTGAAAATAAAAGTTGCCTTTAATTCGGATTGAAACAAATATTACTAATGTATAGTCATCAAAAATACGACAATTAATAAAATTTTTTCAGGGTTGATTACACTGATCAATGACAGTTTATAAACAAAATTATCGACACGTAATTAAAGTTAAAATTGTTATCTTGAAAAAGTATTAAATTGACCTTAGATAAAAATAAGTCAATGATTGACCATCGAATCATATCGAGTATGCCAAAATATTGTGTCGATCCAAACGAAAAAACACATCGATGGTTGTCTCTTGAACAAAATTTAAAAATTTGATATCGATGGCTTATAATTAAATGATCAATATTTGGATGTTGATGAAATTATTGAACGTCGATCACCGATAAATTCAAAGGTTAAATGATGAATCAATAATAATGGATCAAAAATTGGTCATCGATGATTTGTTATTGACAAAATTCTCTTTGATTGGCTAATGATAAAATTATCAATTATTGATTATTGATAAAACTATCAAGATTCGGCAATTGATAAATGTTATCAAAGACTGGCTATTGATAAATGATATCAAAGATTGGCTAATGATAACCTATATCAACGATTGACTATTTATTTGATCAAAGATTGACTAGGACTAAATAATCAACGAATTGCTACTGATAAGATTATCAATAATTAACTATAAATAAAACAATTAAGATTTAGCTATTGATAAATGTTATCTACGATTCGCTGTTGATAAAATGATGATTGACTATTTATAATGATATTAATGATTTGCAGTTGATAAAATTATCAATAATTGGCCACTGAGAAATGTTCTCATTGATTGGCAGTTGATAAAAAATGTTATCAATAATTGTTCAGAAATCGTGAGATGCGGTCTGGTGTGATGTAGGGCCTAGGATTTACAAACATTGTTTAAATTTAACAAAAACATGTAGGATGTGGAAAAAAGTGTATTTATACAATGCAAATAAATGACTCTCAACACGACAGGCAAGAATGGCAAAATTACACAGAAGACAAACACTTTGAGCCCTGAAGATGATCTCAATAAAGATCGAAACGTTGGCACGATGAAGAAAATGGTTTTCTGAAACCTACATCACACGAGACAGCATGTCACGATTTCTGAATAATTATCGATTAACGGTCACTCATCACCACACAATGCTATCAATGATTGACTATTGACAATTATCAAGGGTATGTTATTGATAAATGTTCTCGTTGATTGTCAGTTGATAAAATATGTTATCAATGATTGACTATTGACAATTATCAAGGGTTTGTTATTGATAAATGTTATTAATTTGACGCTTGACCAATTAATATATTACAATTAATTAAGGTTTCCAGTTGAGATAAAAAAGTCAATGGCACGAGCGGGTTTCGAACCCACGATCTTCGGCTTGATACGCCACTGCTCTATCACTTGAGCTATCGTGATCTCAATCCCCTCGGACATCAACTTCCCATCTCAACCACACCTTTTGAATTTTCCCTCCTTTTTGCCATTTTTCAAATGTCGTGTAATCAATTGTAATATATTAATTGGTCTAGCGGACCACGAAACGAGTGAATTGAATAAGTTTAAAATGAAGTATCGCTTCACTTTAATTATTAATATATTACAATTGATTACACGATATTTGAAAAATGGCAAAAAGGAGGGAAAATTAAAAAAAAGGTGGGGTTGAGATTGGAAGTTAGTGTCCGAGTGGATGGAAGTCACGATAGCTCAAGTGGTAGAGCAGCGGCGTATCAAGCCGAAGATCGTGGGTTCGAATCCCGCTCGTGCCATTGACTTTTTTATCTCAACTGAAAACCTTAATTAACAGTTATTAATGATTGTATCAGTGATTGGTTGTTGAGAACATTTTTAATGATTGGCTATTGATAAAATGACTAGTGATTATTATTAAATGTTATAAAATATTGGTTATTTATAACATTATCAATGAATGCCTATTGATAAAATTATCGATGATTGGGTAGTGATAAAAAGATCAATTTTTGGCTATTGAAAACATTATCGAAAGCTGATGTACTAAACGAAGTTCCACGATAGGTTAAAAAATTAAACATTAAATATTGGTATAATCTTCGCGAAATCTCGGTCAAAACAAGAAGGTTGAAAACTGATAATAAAAAAATAGTTGATTGGCCAGTAAAATCATTTGATTGAGTGGATATCGATCAAATAATTTAATTACTATCCATACTATAATCGTTGTTGACTCTATATAATATGTTTACTATTGATGTACGGAAAAAAATCCAATATCATCTGTATCAAGCTCTCCTTTTTAGCTACTTTTGAAGTGCAGAGTTTTTCGTTTTGGGAGGAAGTTACGGGCTGGGATGGTTCATCATCAGTACTATCGTTACTCGAGAATTCTTGCTTTTTTGCAGGAAACTGAGCGGATTTCTTACTGACATTTGTTTTTGGTAGCTCTTTATCTGAACTTTCCTTTTTAGTATCAGCTTTCTTCAAACCTGTTTTTACCTCCTGAGGTTGTTTCAAGGGTACTTGTTTTGTTGTTTCTTGTTCGCTATCACTATCGTTGCTTGAAGAACATTTTTTCTTTTTAGTATGGTCTTTTTTTCTGCAAGATTTGTTAGCTCGGTCTGTTTTTTAAGAGCAGGCTCGTTACCAGAGCTGCCATCGCTCCTCTCTTTCTTAGTGGGGTTGAGCGGGTGTCTTTGGCTCTGGTTTGACAGGAGTCGGAGTTTCTGCTGATGCTTTGCTATTGCTGAACTTTGAGTCGTTGGTTTGTCATCTTCGCTTGAAGAGACCTCAGAGCTACTAATGCTGGCCTTCTGGACTGCTTTAGTAGTCGGTTTTTTGAATAGAGAAACAGCTCCAGGTTTTACTGGTTGTGGTGGCGTTTTTACATCTTGTTTTGAGCTATCTGAATCATCAGAATTGCTGTCTTTCTTAGCGGTTTATCCTGCCGCTAATTTCATTGGAGGCCCTTTCACCGTTGGTTTTAATCGC